CAAAATGCCGATGTATCAGCCAAATAGCCATGGAAATGTAAAGCTAGACATGGGTTCTGGTGGGCAAGTTTTGGATCTACAAACCACCATTAAAGGTGGCATTTTGGGCGGTGTTGGCGGCGGTTTAGTTTGTACAGGTGTGAAGGAGAAACTGGATCTGAGGAAGATGGTTGGGGAGCTTGAATCAATACAAGTGCCATCAGTGTTCATATGTCCAATTTCATTGGACCCCATGCAAGAACCAGTGACTCTCTGTACTGGACAGACTTATGAAAGATCCAACATTCTCAAATGGTTCTCTTTGGGTCATTGCACTTGCCCCACAACAATGCAAGAGCTTTGGGATGATACGGTGACACCAAACAGGACTTTGCAGCAGCTGATTCATAGCTGGTTCTCGAGTAAGTATTTGGCTATGAAGAAGAGATCAGAGGACGTGCTAGGGAAGGCTGTTGAGCTTTTGGATTCTTTAAAGAAGGTTAAGGGCCAAGCTAGAGTGCAAACTTTGAAGCAACTTAGGCATGTCGTGGTTGCTCATTCTATGGCGAAGAAGACAGTGATGGATAAGGGTGGAGCTGCCTTGGTTTCTTCTTTGTTGGGTCCTTTTACAACTCATGCTGTTGGGTCTGAGGCCATTGGTATTCTTGTGAATTTGGAGCTTGATTTGCCATCCAAGGCAAATTTGAGGCAGCCTGCAAAGATTTCCTTAGTTGTGGATATGTTGAATGAGGGTTCGATTGAGACCAAGATTAATTGTACGAAATTGATCGAAATGTTGATAGAAGGGAAGGATTCAGGATCGGAAAATGTGTCAAGTTTAAGTCTTTTGGCAGGTCTATTGAGGTTGGTGAAAGATAAGAGACACCCAAATGGAGTATTGGCTGGGCTCGGTTTGTTAAATACGATTTGTTCAGATGAGTCCCTCAGGAGCGCAGCTGTGAGCATCGGGGCAGTTCCTCCATTAGTGGAGTTATTGCCTAGTTTGAATAATGAGTGCTTGGAATTAGCTCTTTATATTTTGGAGGTCCTCTCAACTGTTCCAGAGGGTAGGTTGGCTTTGAAGGATTGTGCCAACACAATTCCTAATGTGGTCAAGTTATTGATGAGCAAATCGGAGAGCTGTACTCAGCTTGCATTATCAATACTGTGGGCTGTTTGCAAGCTTGCACTGGAAGAATGTGCAGCACTTGCTGTGGAGGCGGGTTTGGCAGCGAAGCTACTTCTTGTAATACAGAGTGGCTGTAATCCTGTATTGAAGCAGCGGTCAGTTGAGCTCCTGAAACTGTGTAGTCTAAATTACACGGCTACCATCTTCATTTCCAAGTGTAACCTTACCAGAACGATATAGTGAATGAAATTGGCAAATTGTTGATACATAACATCTTTTCTTTTACCTCGCAAGAGGCAAAGGAGCTCTTGGGATCACTTGGAACATATGGCGGCTCTCTGGCCCGTGCATATTAAAGAGCTTTGATACATAACATTGATTTTCCATGATGGAAGCATCATAATGTGGATTTTAGGCTAATCACAGTGTCTGTAAGCTGGTGGTTTTACCAAAATTTTTCAGAAATGTTCAGCCGAGTGAGGTTGCTATTGAATTCAGCTGCTCTTGTATGCCAAACTGGACTACGCTGGGTTGTGGATTTGAGATTGTTTCAATCCTCAACTGATGTGTATAGTATGTCTCTGGCGGAGCGTGAGTGAGGTTCTGGTGATTTAGAAAGCAAGAAAGGGATTTGGGGATTAGGAATTCATACAGGGACGTATTTTTCACGATAATCAACGAGCAAACATCTGTATTTATACATGCAATTTTTCATTTTTGCTTGGAGCTTCTTTAAAATCGTACTTATTTGTTCTGCAAGGCTGTGATGCAGAGTCTACGTTGTTAGTACATTTCAAGATTTGATTAATTAATAACATATCACCCCATATTTGTTTGAAATATGCATCTGAAAATGAGGACAGAAATGAAGCCATCATGCATTTGCTCGAAGAGAACAGGCTTGGTAAATTTCAATTTTTGGAGTATGAGAGGTGTTGTGCTAGCCCTTTCATATACCTGCTACGAGATAATCTTGGAGTGGATTTATATCTTTTTAAAACAAGAAAGTCCTGAAATAATAACCAAACACACAGGGAGTGCTTTCAAATTTAGACAATTCTGAATTAGAAAGGAACGATGGACATGTTTTCCTCTTTTCCAGCTCCCATCGTCGCACTCTTCCCAGGTTTTTAAATTAAAACAGGAGCAGTCCAGCTTGGAGAATGCAATAATAATAATATCTGATAGTGCCGTTTCTCCAATACCGACCTTCTCTTTGGTCTCAGCATTAAGGTCACTACCATGATCAACTTGCAATCTAAAAAATGCGGCCCGACTTTTTCACGCAATCCGTCCCACATACTTCTAAATCTTCGAGAGATGGCTTCTTCTCCAGAAAGGCAGATTCTCAATCTTCCCGCACTTACAGAGTCCAAGTACCCTTCTTACCTTGGTTAGAGACACGGGAAACAATGTGATTCCTAGGTAATAAACTATGTCCAAAGATTCTAAGTTTGGAGGTTCTCAATATTTTAAGTAAAGACATGACATAATCAGATATGAATTTGAATTTGACACCATGTGGATGCATGTCTAGCATACATTTCTTAAACTTCAAGGGCTTCATCATCTCGAATTACACTCCTATCGGTCCTCTCTAGTAAATAGAGATTTTCTTCGAAGATGGTCTTTGGGATGCCTGTCTTGATCCATTCAGAGTATACTGACACCCTTCTTTCTAGACAGAGTAGCTTAAGCAAGAAAGTGATGCAATTGCATCAACCAGGAAAAGTGAAACAAGGGAACAAAAAGGAGTCATCTAACGCTAGAAGGAGGGCTTGAACGTCCGACCAACAGCCACACGCTCTAGCCAGCTGAGCTATTCCAGCTCGTCGTTAACGACAACCGTCTTGCTTGAAATTCACATATATACGAGGAATTTCCACCAAATCTTTATTATATTTTTGTTTTTTACAAGCTGGTGTAACATCAGTGTTTTTTGTTAGTGTGTGTAAATAAATTTAATTCCAAATAATTGTTAGTGATTGAATCTATGATCTGTCAAGAGACCACCATGTAATTATAAATAATCTGTAAAATAGGAATTCGTAAAAAGATTAAAGAGATTTTATTCATTGTTGTCTTCACAGCAGAATTGCCATGCTAACAGTGAGAAATCATGTAATTTGGTTGTTTTTTAAATAATTTTTTATATTAAAATAAATATTAATAATTTATTTTATTTTTTAAAAATTATTTTTGATATTAATATATTAAAATGATTTAAAAACACTAAAAATATATAAATTTAAAATTAATAAAAAAATAAATTTTTTTAATTTTTTTAAAATTATTTCTGAAACACAAAAACAAAATAAATCTATAAATGAATTGACATTGCTCATGGCATGAGCACCTTCGAACAATAACCATCAACTGCACCTTCTTCTATGCAAATATCCATCAATCAAACAGTTTGCTTTGCACATGTATTATTCCACTATTTTACAAATAAAAAAATTATATATTTAGGGTTTTTTATTTATAAATAAGTTAATTTAAATATTTATTAAGTTTGAATATTTAAAATATATTTTTATATAGAGTTTCTTTTAATGTTTGAATATTTAAAATATATTTTTATATAGAGCTTCTTTTAACGTTTAGTTTTGATTATTTTTTAAAATATTTTTTTATTTAAAATATATCAAAATAATATTTTTTTATTTTTTTAAAATTATTTTAAAATCACCATATCAAAATAATTAAAAATCATTAAAAAATATTAAATAAATAAAATTTAAATATTTTTAAAGTAAAAAAATAACAATATCTTGTAATTTGTAATTTATGGTAAATATAAATGTGTGATAACGAATAGTTGCTAAAAAAACTGAACATTAAAAGAGATCTGCATGTGGCCTCCATTGTTACAAATCACAGGATTTCAAAGTTCTTGGCTAGCAAATGGCCACCAAATAACAAAACTTTGTGTTTCCACGTGTCAACAACTCAAGTACTTAGAGTTTAGTCAAAGCCACCGAATCTTCTCTTGCCTACAAGCTCCAAAAACGTTGAAGGACTCGTACATGGCCATTTTTTGTCACACTCTCTCCTCTCTT